AGAATGAGATGCCAACAGCCACTACTTATTCAGCTACAAGAAAAAGAAGGAAGTCACTAGCACGTTTTAAACAGATTAACTCTTAAGCTGGAAAGCACATTTGTATCTTCAACTAACTTGACAAATGAAAGCTCCATGTGACTTCTTGTGTCCCAGAGTCAAAGTTAGAAACACAGTAATCCTCGCACCCTTGAACAGTTCTCCAACTACTGTTTAGAATATTTATCAATTTTTAAAATCTCACAAGGAAGAAAAAGTTTGTAATGACTGGAGTCAGGGTGGCGATACTTACAAGTCACTTAGCAAACACTTGCAGCTTTTGTAGAATACAAGTCTTTAGAAAAATCACTTTATTTCAATTCTCGTACGATCAATAGCTCGATATAAGATAACAACTGTGTTCATCTGCATTCATCTTCCTTCCCACCAATAAGTTTTACTAATAGATACTATTTTGAGACCAGTAACATTTTTGTTTTTTCCAGAGAGCATCACAGTACAGGAATCAAGTTGTACTCCAAGTCATACAGGCAGCATCAGATTTTATAGAAAAATTATCATTGAATTATAGTGACTGAAGTAAAGCAGAAAGTCCTACTCTCAGTTCCACCCTTTAAATGCTCTGCAGCAAAGCTTCTATGAGAAAGCTCATTCTAGCAAACATAACCATTCAGGACACCATTCAGCAAAGGCATATTTCAAAATTAAAGGTTGATGAGCACAAGCTATGCTTGTCACAGAGAGTATTTGTAACTTTCACATCATTTATTCACATGCCACTAGAAAATATGTTATCACCCAATAATACTTCACAGAGAGCAGCACAAATGATAAGCAGAAAGCCAGAGGAAGGTTTCTGGTGTTTCTGCTGAAATCACAACATGAATAACCCTGTTCAACTGCCCCTGTAGTGAGAGAAGAGAGCTGAAACTGTTCCAGGAACATTAACTCTGAATTTCTTTGCCTTCTTACAATTAAGATTTCAGATCTCTAATTTATTGCATCAGCGAACATACTTTTACAGGTTTAAGAGATAAGAAACTTCATTCAACTCTGAAAGCAAAAGTACTTCCCTATGGCAGTAATCTTAGCAGCACCCAAAATTCGTTAAGGACACCTAAAGGAACTCTAAAAGTCTATTCTAATTCAGTGGAGTCTTATACTTCAGTTGGAGGACTGGGTTGCAAGAGAACTGAAGAATGTTATATACGTATAAAGATAATCTGCAACTAATAGGAATGAACATCTCAACAATCGCATACTGAAATATATCATTTAAATATATCATAATTAAAAATTAAAACTGAAAAAAATAAATTTATGCAATCTTTTTAAGAAAAGCATAAGTAAGAGTAGGAAAGGATAAGTAAGAGTAGTATAGACTCAGTTCTGGCTGCAATCTATTATCATTCACCTGCAGACCACCTTGTGCCCCAAGTCCCAGGCCAGGTCAGATGAACAGCTGACAGTCTACAGAAAAGAAATGAATAGACTGGGAGGCTTTAAAAGAACAGAGTATCCATGACAAAAATACCATCCACACTAGGCCCTATGACATATCTTTCAGAGGCATACATCTGAAAGGAACTTAACTCTACACATAGCAAAAGGAATCCTTTAATTATCACTCCTGAATTTGCCGTAGAGCCACAGAGATGACTTCAGCCTGTAGAGTTTCTCTACCATTTACTACTATTAGGAAAGCAGACAAAAACACCCCTCACAAAACTCTGTATGTAGATTAATAACATTTCTTAAAGTATCTTAAAGGTGGAAACTGCCAAGATCTAACCAATAACACACTCTGTAAGGATTTTGTTGAACAAGACTTGACAGCCCTTGTATCTCCTGAGAAATGCTTACAAAAAAAACCCAAACAAAATAAAACAAACCCTCACAAAACAAGAATGCCACCACTCAAAAGTTTAAAAACCCACTCAAAAAAAACTAAACAACTGAGATTTTTCTTCCCCATTATTACATTCTTATTCCTCATTACAAAGCTTTCAGATAAGATGATGGTGGAGGAAGGAAATTACATGATCTTACCCAGAGGCAAGCAGCTTGTACAGTACCTTGGAAAAAAAAAAAAAAAACAGAGAAAAACATGACACAAGTCAGCTGGCTCAGCAAGGATTAAGAAATACCTTGATAAACAGTTAGTGATATGAAAGGCAAAGCTTTTGGCTCCAGCTCAGAAGAGTAATTACTCCCATCTGGGCACAGAAAACCTGAAAAGGGATTAGTTTCAAATGGCACAGAAAAAAATTCACGACCTGACAGTCTGTCTTTCACAGCTGCATTAGGTGGGTACACCAAAGGGTGTTTAGGCCAATGGCTAGAAGTATGAGACTATAAACAACAGCAAGCTCCAGCAGGGGTATGGGTTACCTGCTCTTCCCATGAAGGCATGAAACTGGTGGAAAAAGAATGTACTTTTAAAAAGGTTTGTGCCAAAACAAAATCCCACCACTACAGTCTTTACAGAGTTTTCAATTTATTTTTCTCATGCATACCTATACTTGATTAAATAGTCAGCTACAGCAGAGCTTTGTAAGGGGTATCTTCAATAATTCCTAACATTTGGAAGAAGCCAAACCCTCAAAAACATGGCAGCAAATCTTTCATGCAAAAAACCACCGCAGAGTAAGAAAACTAAGTATTTGCCCATTCTCACAAATATAGTCAAGTCTCCTTTCACAGCACAAGGAGTGGGCAAAGAAAGCATTGCTTTCACTACGAAAACTTTATTCTGTTATTTTTCTTGCTGACTGCTTGTTTTATGTGGGTGTGGTAGTGTTTTTATTGTTCTGGACTATATTTTAATTGATGGCACAAAGCCTGGAGTTTGGGATTGGCATCTCTTCCATCATTTATGTTGAAATAAATAAAAATATTCCTTAAAAAAAAAAAAAAGAAATACACACTATAATCCCAATTGCTAAAAAGAAAGCAGGCTGCTACAAAAGGATAAAAAACAAGGAAATAAACAGCTTGAAAACCAGCCCTAACAAACCTAAGAAAAGCTTTCAGATGGCTCAAAAATCTACCAGGATTCTAGAGAATTCACCATCTCAAAGCCTCATCTCTACTTACCATTCTCTGAAATACCCTCAAAAGACCAAGAATCAAAGATACAACTGTGGAATCCAGCAGTACTGTATAGCGGCAGAATGTCTGTATAAATCTGATGGTAAGATTGAAGATCAAAATTTGTTTTCAATTTCAGACATTAACTACTAAGAAAATGGGAGTGTGCTAAATTGGTAAAATATATTCCCAAGAGAAATAAGGGCAGATTAATAAAACTACTCTTCAAGCTGTTGTCATAGAGTTTGGTTCAGAGCTGAATGGAGAGGCACTGAAACAAATACAACAGGACGGGAAAGAAGAGTGGGTCTACCCAAGCAAACACTAACATTAAAAAAAAAACACAGCTACAACAACAAAAACTAAACCCACAATATAGCCTTACATTCATGATGAAAAACTCCTAACTCTGAATCTTGTGAACAAAAGAAAGCAGCACCTACCAATGCTCAAAAATGACTCTTTACCAGTCAGTATCTGAAGCTTTATTTCTCAATAGTATTTTAATGAAAATATGCTGTTATTAATACTGCCAAAATAAGACATTTCTCCTATGGTAAAGAAACATTCGCAATCTGTTTTCTGACCTGATAATTAGAAAATTGCCCTTCCACAATCTGACAAAGCAAAAAAAAATCCCAGTTTTTACTCAGCTGTTGATTCATTGTCAGTCTACCATGTTTTTGCAGCTGATAGATAATTCCCATGACTGCTGAGTCAATAACAATCTTGACTAGTCTTTAACATCAGCAATACTGGTAGGCAATGTTATTAGTGATGTTCTGCTTTCTGGGGAATAAAAAACACCACAACACAACACAAAAACAAACACGAAACCACACACATGCCCCCCACCCAAACAAGCAAGCTGGAATTATTTAAGGAAAAATAAAGTGTCAGCATGAAGCTAAATTGTTCTCATTATCCAAGGAATTCAAAAAAATACTTTAATGTTACATTTGCATGAAAATTCTATGAGCTCTTCATGTCAGGCAGCATTTCAGCAAGCTCCCCAAGCACACACAAACAAAAAACATATGACAAACTGTTGTCTCCCAGCTGATTGAAGTATTTCTTTCTGGCACCAAAAGCCCACTTAGTTAACTGCTGCAAGCCTGGGCCAACAGAAGTATTCCACCCACTATCTAGCACAAAGTTCAAACCTGAACACAACTAGTGTGTCAAAAACACACAGCTTCTGAAATACAAGAAACGGTATGTCTGAGCAACTTCTTTTTAACTCTGAGCTACTTACTGAATTGATTGGACTGATAAAAACTTAAACAAGTCCAAATAAACTGCCTATCTTGCCTATGTTTGGAAAAAAGGTGTGTTAAAATACTTCTTTCCAAAACATTTTATCAGCAATAACCTTCCACCAGTCTAACACACAAAGAATTTGAGAGAAAAAAGCCTACAGATGTTTAACACACCTGAGTTTCTCTCAGTTGCAGTATTCACTTGTTATGTCAAAGCCTCAAAGTTCCCTAATCAACCAGAGCAAATGAGTTTGAAATACCTGAATCTGTGGGTAAACAGAAGTAGTACAGTCATATACACCGTGTTGGATGAATATATACCACAATTTTAGAGAACTTGTAACTACTATTGCCCAAACTTCACATGTCATAATTCATTATGATTTAGCAGTTTGTTCCACAATGCACAAAACTCAAGATAAAAATAATAATTAAAATAGAATTTAATATATGTATTTCAATAAAAGCACAGGTAAAACAAGTTATTTGTACACAAGGCTTGACGCTCTCTCAGGAGACCTATGTAAAAGTAAAAAAGGCTAAGTAATAAAAAAAAAAAACAAGGCTCTTGGATACAGCTGTTCTGCACAGCAGACACACCAGCAGACTATATGTAAGTACACTGAGAAGGTATCTTGCATGCAAGCCTACCTGTTTACTTTTTGCAGTCTTTCTATCAGAGTTATGGTTTCCTTTAGCACCGTCCATGCTTCTTAAAACATTGATGAAATCTTTCTTTGAAACAGATGACAGCAGTTTAGCACGTTGTCTTTCAGATCTCGCACCTTTCTTCACCTTCTCGTCAACATTCTTTTGGTGTGTCCTGACAGCATTAAACAACTGCACTACACCTCTAGGGTGGTGGGCAGCAGAGAGGAAGTGAAGAAAAAACAAAAAAAGCTTTTAACTCAAGCTGCCTTTATAGATATGGACTTTCTATCAAAGAAATTAACAAGTTCAGATGTTAGCTGGCTTCTAGTTCCCAAAAATGGTTACTCTGAACCTCAATTCTGTTAAGTAACATTCACTACAATACAGGAGGCTTTCAGTCTTCCTTCCCACTTATTACTAGAAACCAGCACCAAAAATCCAAACACAACTTTTCAGATCCCAAAGCAAGCATGATACATTGCACTACCATCAATACAAAAACCCCTTTCAACTCCAGGAGGATGCTAGTCATTCTACAACCAGCTATTAAATTTCTCATACAAGAATTTAAGAGCAGCTGAAGCAGGAGTACAAGGGACAGGAGTGAGTCCTGTAAGGAAACAAGCAGATACAGACAGAATATCAACATGGTGCTCCACAAAGAACTAGATGAGCACCGCTACAATAATGCAAATCAGGCAACTGTACTTAGCAGCCATGGATCTGGTGAATTCTCTGCAGAGAAGGAAAAAATAGAACAGCAGAAACAACTGTTCTGCATTTTCAGAGCATAAAATTAACAAAATAAGGGAGTCTAACAAAGCACTTCTGTTAGGCAAACATTGCATTATTGTCTGAATTTTTATGCTTTCAGAAACCTTCTAAAATCTTTTGTTGAACTTGATACTGTAAAACACAGATCTGCATATAAATCACTTGGCTCCTGCTAGTCACTTCTTAGGAGTTCAATCTGATTGGAAACAGATTACCTGCACAGGCCTTTTCTTCCCCTTTTCCTCCCTTTAAGATATACATATATTTAAAGAAAGCTTTCAAAAAAACTTCTTACCTTGTTGCAATTCTCTGAAGATTTCTCTCTCTGTCTCTGTCTTTGACAACATCTGGCTTCACTCGGCACATCATTTCCCACTCCCGCTTTTTATCGAGCTGTTATAAATATTGTTACATAAAGTAAGTGGCACGGGGCATTTGACAATGCAGCATACTCTAACAACATGCAGTAAGACAACCAAAAAAAAAAAAAAAAAAAAAATCAACAAAAGCTCTGTTTGGTTGATGGTAAGGGCAGCACCAGCACTGGACAACAGATCTAAGACAAGTCCCTTGTGCTGACAAAAACGGGGCCCCAATGAAATCTCAGTCATTTCCCTTCTACAACAGAAAGTTGTGCCAGAGTGATGTTTCTGGTTGAGATAAGCAAAAGGGGTCTAGTAAAACACAAGTGCTTTCACACTGACAGCTACAGGCAAAGAAATTATTCAAGAACAGTTTCCAACTCCACAAGCCCATCACAGATAAATCTATAAATAATAAATTTGTGGGCACATCAAGACAAGCATAATATCATATTTTGAGTCTCAGGAATTTGACTTCCCCTACCGAATTAATCACAAAGCAGGTTTATGATTGACAGTGAGGCATAGCAAAGACTGCAATAAGGAGAACTCAAGCATAGGAGAGTACCAAATGCTCACAGGATAACTGCAATAGGACAAAGGGGGACAGATTTAAACTGAAAGAGGGAAGGTTTAAATTAGATAGTAATAAGAATTCTTTCACCCAGAGGGCAATGAGGCCCTGGCACAGCTGCCCAGAGAAGCTATTGATGTCCCATTCCTGGAGGCGCTCAAGGTCAGTCTTGAAGGGTTCCTAAACAGTCTGATCTAACTGCTGGCAACCCTGTCCACAGCAGGGGGCTGTAAGTATATGATCTTTGAGGTCCCTTCCAACCCAAGCCACTCCATAACTTTGTGAATCCCTTTCACGACTCTTCAACTGTCATGTACAACACCAATTTTTGTCTTTTTTGAGGTTCCCTGTTTCAAATCCAAAACTGATCAACTGATCAAGGACCATAATTCCCATAGTGGAATACTATACTTCTCCAACACCTCCATCAGGAATAATTTAAGAATACTTTTTCCCCAACTTGTAACAATCTAACAGTGTTCTTAGTTCTGATGGTATTTCATTAAGTGTGTTTTACACAAGCTTTTCACGGAATTTCAGAGCCCTTATCTTTATAATTTCAGGCAGACTACTACGAACTCACAAGTTTATGACCATGTTTTGACCTTTGATCAAAAGACCTGCCATGTTCTAGCTTGCATCAGCAAGAAATTAAGAAAAGCAAGACTGACCTCAAGTTTTACTAAGGATGAACTAGTCAGCTTAGAGACCTGTAGCTCACCTCTGCTTCACAGTACTTCCACATTTATTGGGTGAAAACAAGTATTTAGGACAGCTAGAATTGAGGAGATACCTTACCAGAGCTCTATTAAAGGGGCAGGCTGCAGCCTAACCACTGTATGTCCCAGACTATCAGCAGGAAATTTGGTTAACCTACTTAAACAGAACTAGCAAGATGAAACATTAGAAGTATTAATAAATTTTTAGCCTGAAGGTGAATCAATTACAGTGTGGAATTAAAATTTCACAAAAACAAACAAACAACAACAAAAAAAAACAACACTACAGTTTTGTTTTCTTTGTATCATTTTCAGAATTAGAAGTAATTTAGAGCATAGACACCATCATACCATCTACCATGGAAAACCAAAAGGGGCAAACTGAATCAAAAGCACATTATGGATTACACCAATCTCAGCCTTGAGGCCTCTGCTCTTCAAAGTCTCTGCTTGGGTGACCATGCCCACATCCCTATCTGACTGTGACTGTACAATGAAACGCCGAGTCTTTTTCTCACCTTCCTTCTCTTCTCCAGTCTTTCCTGTTTCTCCTTTTCTCTCTCCTTCTCCAGTTTTTTATTCTTGGCCAAGATGATGGACTTATTTTGTGGTATCTTTTTGTTGAGTACTTTTGCCATGGCATCTGCCCAGCCTGAACCTGGACCAGCTTTGGTATTTGCTGTCTCTTCAGCCACATGTCCAGCAACTGCTGCTTCATCCTCATCATCTCCATCCAAGGCTTCATCCCCAGAAGAGTAGCTGTCATCTGGAAGTCCTGAGCTTATCTCAGAATCTAGGGGAAAAAAAAAAAAAAGCATCAAGATTTCTGTCTCCAGTAAATATCCATCTCAAGTTGAGTTTGTTCTATATGCAAATGCTATTAGAGCTCAGGGCCATACACTCCTTGCTTTTACAATTAATTCTTCAAGATACTGCTCAAGCAGGTATGAAACCATTACAAATTTATTAGAAAGTATACAGTGGAAGGGCTTTCTACTCTCAGCAATGTTTTACAGGATTTTAAGAGGTTAGATAGAAGGAAGAAGATAGCCCTAGAAATTATTACTATATTAATGAAAATTGTTATCACTAGGACTGTTAAATTTGAGGGGAAAAAGGTATGTTCCAGTTAAAAGAAATTATTTATATATATATATATACACACACACACATATATGTATTCATATGGCTACATATACTTCTATACAAACTCCAACAGTGACATCTAGTGTTTAAATGCATGTACACAGATTAAACTGAAGGTAGGGGGGCATATCATACATGAAAGCAATGTATGCTTCTGGGAAAAAAACACTGGTTCAGGAAAATAATCAGCTAAGCACAAAGGACACAAAGCAGAAACCGCCCTGTGAAACCAAGAATCAAAAGACTTGTCAGGTATCTCAAAAGTAAATGAGCTTTTCTGTTCTACTTTCTGTTTCTGCACAAGTACTTCAAACACAAATAAAACATCCTCACATTCAGATTTGCTTACCCCATCCCCTATTCAAAACAAAAGTAGGAACTGGAGTTAAAATACTCAAGTCTGGAATCAAGTAATTGTGAGAAAGGAAAGAAAAGTCAATTTGACAGCGAACCAAACACACACAAAGTGTATTCTGCTACTTTCGTTAGCTTGATCAGTGAGTCAAATCAAGACTTTAACAGAGAGAATGATTAACCAGAATAAAACTAGCTGCAAACTTAGGGTGTACTAAAATGTCTCATTACTTCAGTCTACCTATTTTTTCAGGTAACTGTGCAGCACTGTGACAATTCACTCCTATTCCATCGATACTTGTGCCACCCAGAAGTTTCAGATTACATATATAACATATCGCGTACAAGGTTGTGAAGTCCACCAAGTGATTGGTAGAACAAAGCTGGTTTCTGACTCCCCTGCAGTCCCACCTACAAAGATACAGTCCCCAATGGTTCTGAGATGAGCTGATTGCTGTTCATCTACTTAACATGCAGCTCACTGCCTTTCATCCATCTATCCCTCTCATGCTACATCAGGAAAAAAACTGCAGAAGTTTTGTTCCACCAGATCAAGTGTTTCAATTTTGTAAGCATTCCTACATTAATTAAAGGTTACTACAGTTACCTTTAGCAACCAAATCATTATGAGAACGAAGTCAGGAGGTGCTTGACAAGATCCATAGAATAATGGGGACAGCTATTAATGACATCTGTTTTTAATCCATCCTATCTATTCAATTAATGATACACACCATAGCAAAACCAATTCATTACTCTGCTATTAAATAAAACAAAATAGGCTTAAAAAACAGCCAAAAACAAATAAACAACAACAAAAAAAAAACTGTAACACCACACATTCATTTTTTCCTACACATAACAGCTTCTCCAAATAAACTAAGAGAATAATGTTAGATAATACCAAAAATCATTATGCAAGGTAATCAGCACTTTCAACAAATACAGAAAGATGAGTGACTGAGGCTGCAGCAGTTTTCAGCACTGCCAATTTTGAACATATGAGAGAATGTGTCAACAGCATTAGGTAAAGCAGAGGTATCTCAAAGGAATGCAAATTGTGTTAATTCTATCAGAACCGGTACTTGGAGCTCTGTACTAAATTAGACTGATTCAAGTCTAATAAAATTTCCATATAAAAAGACCTTGTAAAAGGGTGGGAAAATACATAACATATTTGAGTTGGAAGAAACCCTTAAAGGCTATCTAGTCCGTTCCCCTGCAATGATCAGCAACACCTACAACAGATCAGGCTGCTCAGAGCCCTGCCCAGCCTGACCTTCAGAACCGCCAGGGACAGGGCAACCACCTCCTGTCTGAGCAACTTGTGTCAATGCCTCACCACTCTGATTGTAAACACTTTCTTCCTTATATCCAATCTGAATATCTCCCCTTTTTCAGTTTGAAACCATTTCCCCATGTCCTGCCACAACAGACTGTGCTAACCAGTCCCCTCCTTTCTGACAGTCCCCCCTTAGATACTGAAAGGCCACTCTCAGATCTCCACAGAGCCCTTTCTTCTCCAGCCCAAGCTCTGAACATCTCCATACTTCCTTCATTTGTGTCTGCTCAGCGATCTAGGAGTAGGCACGTACATTTATGAACATCCATCTCTCCGAGAGAAGCTCTGGAAGCTCTATCACCAAACCACCCCCC